TCTGAACAAAAGAATAAAATATTACTTTATTTTACTGCAAGACAACATATTTTTTACTACATCATGAAAAAAATCAGCTGCTCTGAATGCTGTCCCTGGAAAAGTAAGCAAACTACCTTTTTAAGAAGCAAGAAATAAAGTGCTCCTGAGTGTAAATAATTACTTGGAGCAGCATGTTACAAATACATGCTAATAAGAAGTAGTGTTCCTAAATTATCAGTTGAGGGAAGCCAATTTCCTTCTTGTAGTGATTTTCTTTTATTAACACTAATCAGGCTTATTTTGGAGGGGATAACAGACCTGTGCAGTGTGATGAAAGCTGTACAGCTGCCAGAGGTTTGTTTGACCAGTACAGGGAAACTTCAGATTCTTAATTTGTTTTACATGCTATTGCTGTTTCTCATGACTTAAATCCTGGTTATCTACATAGTATGTTCTGCATAGAGGGAAAGGCAAGTTTGATTGCAAGGTTTTTTTTTTTTTTTTTTTTTTTTTTTTTAATGCTAAGCTGTTCTTAAAGTAATGCTTCCCATTTTATTACGTCATGTTTTATTATATCATGTCCTTGATGCCAGGGGTGGGTGGTGATCGTATGGCATTAGAGGCTGAACTTTCTCACCAGTATTTTGTGATGTGTTGTTCCTGTGTGACAGATGGCAGCAGAGGGGCAGTCTGACAAAGCGGTGTCTGACACAGAACTACGTATGAAGTGATGTAGAATCGAGTTCTTCCATGTGAGGAGAACACTGCACCAAGTGACATTCATCAACTCCTGCTGAATGTTGATGGAGACTGAACAGTGACTGTGAGCATGGTGAAGCAGTGGGTGGTGTGTTTAAGCAGTGGTGACAGCTAGAGTGGATCGCTTCTGCTGATGCAGGTTTTGCCAAGTGCAGCATGCATGCTTTTGTTCATCACTGGTGAAAATGTGTATCCAGTGGTGGTGGCCATGTTGAAAACAGTGTTTTGTAGCTGAGAATTTGTTCTGTCAGGTGGTGTGGTATTGCGCTCTTTGTGCTATTGCTTATAGACAAATCAGGGTCTCAAAACATGTTCTTGGTGGTTTAAAAACCTTTTCCTTGGCAGTTACAAAGTGCTTAGTCATAGAGCACTGACTGCTCCGTGCACCTAGACCATTTGTCTTGCGTGCTTGACTTTGGACGTGAGTGAAATTTCTCATTTATGAGTTTGACTTTATCTTACAAATAGGATCAACTTTCCAACTACTTTCTTGTAGCAGGGTTACATTTTTTGCTCCTCTGTCAGGAGTCTGCCCATTCTTAAAATGGGTTGCCAGGGATGTTGTTCACTTGCTACTCAAGCAAGCTGGTAAGTTACTAAACAGTGGGTTTCCAGAATTTGTGAATATGATCTTTCTTTTATCACACAGGAGTGTCAAAATAATAGTGTAACTTAATCCATTTCTTTTGCTGGTGAGAATAACAAGTTGGTGCCAGAACCACCTTCTGCTCCTGAGCTCCATCTGTGGCAGTCCAAAGTATCAACCCTGCGCTTAGCTTTCTGCATCAACATCTGTGGCTTATTTCTGCCTCCCTGTGTTCAAATTCTGCCTGACCTTTGATTTTTGTCTGATGCTAGCTGAGATGTTGGTGTACCTGTGCAAGACTAAGACCGAACTGATTCCGAGTGTGAATACATACTGGGGAAAAAGAGCGGGCAAAGAGAGATGCTATTTCACAGGATCAGGTAGAGGTTGGTCAGGGTATGTGATGTATTAAACACCCTAGCACTAGCTGCAGTTCGGGAATGCGCTTCCACAGAGTGACTTCTTTACAGGGGCAGGGGTTATGACTTGCTTTCTCAGGGACTTCCAGGAGGGGTGTGATTGTTAAGAGATTGTGCAACCTGTTTCAAGGTACTTTGTGGGACAAATCAGGACCTGCCTATGTGTCAGGTGCTCGTGTTTAGAAAACGTTAATCCTTCTGAGGTAAAGGTCTTCACCCTGGTTTAGTAAACTTACTGTATGTCTGGATATCATTAAGTAAGTTATTTTTTCTGAGAACCAGACACATACTTGCCTTATGCTTCCAACATCAGTGTGTTTCAGAAGCAAGTAGCTCTAGGTTCTGGTGGTTTGAGTTAATTGTATTCTAAAATATGTTGGAATCAGTACTGTGCTGATCACAAAAAGTCCCTTTTGACCTAAACAGTTCTGTAATGATTGGAGGGAAGAGGTTGTGCATTATAATGGAGTTGTTCATGGCTTGAAACACAAAAATAATCTGCTTGGACAAACCAGGTAATCTTGTTTGGTAGTTCAAGTGCATCTTTCTTATGTTAGAGCATTTGTGTCATCTGCATGAGAGTCAAGCAAAAGAACAGAGTGATGTTAGAGTATAAACGTATTCATTTTGCTGTTAAAATCAGTAGACATGGTGCTGAACTCTTTTTTTTAGTTCCCTAATAGTGCATTATTTTGTTGTTTCAAAAGATTGCTAAAGACTATCATTCATCTCTTGTAATGGATAATTAAAATAATAGATGCTAATAAATATCCATAAATTGTGAAGTCCTCATTTTAGAGTGAATTACGTAAGTAGTCTAACAGCTTTATGATTGGCCTCTGTACATGCAGATTAAAAGCATGATTTGCTGAACCTATTTGTAAACGTTTCAGTGTTGGTAGCTGTTTAAGCAAATAGAATGCCTTCATATCTTCTGCCATTCTGTATTTCTATTTAGGGATGCTGTGCTGTTTTTTTTTCTTTTTTTTTCTTTTTTTTTTTTCTGTCACTATGATGAGAAATTGATTCCCCACTCCATTTTTAGTTTGTCTGAGCTTCTTTGCTTCACCACATAAAGATTCTGAGGAAAGCAAGGCATGATAGTTTAAATATAACATCTTTTTTTGTGAAGTCTTGTCTCTCCCTCTGAATAGTAGATTTGATTACAGGATCTTTTACTTAGGATTTAAATGAAAAAAAAAATATATATATAATATAAAAATCAAACAACTGTTCCTGATGCTTGATTTCTCCAAATCCATGAGACTTGTTCAAACGAGTGGTAGTTTATTTCCAATATTACTATGCTTTTCAAAATTAGGGCCACATTTTGGATGGGGTGCTGTCACCAAAAGCCCAAACCATCCGACTTCCTGCTGGAGGGAGAGGAAACACGGCAGTGGTGACGGGAGAGAAGCTTGAATGCATACCTTTAAATAAGGAATTCAGACTGTTTCTGTGGAATGCTTATTATTCTAATTCTGATAAACAGCTTTCAATATTTATTTGCTTTTCTGGCTTTCATTACAATTATGAATTTCTGAGATTCCTTGGAGTCTGCAGGTTGCTTTACAGATAAAGCAAAAGCTGCTTGCAGCTAAGTACCTCCGTAGTTTGAAAATGTACAGGTGGTTGAACCGTGAATCTGCTTGTATCTTGTGTGTGCCAGATTTTACTGAATGAGAATTAATGATGAATGTGCCTCCTAAAAAAGGAAGTTAAGGTTGTAAGGTGCCTACGGAAGTGGAAATAGTGTGTACCTATATACGTATGTTAACCTAATTGAAGCTACTTTCTGGTCGTTTATTCCAGTGGAAGATACTGAAAGGTTCTTTTGCACTTTGCTTACTTCTCGTGTTTAAAACAACAGGGCTGTTGAGTAGTCATGAACGCTGATGCTTTTGCTTGTGCTGTTGGCTGTTTGAAAGTGTGCTTGTCACCTGAAAATGTTAATGTCTTCCCCTTAGTCACTTACTTAGAAGTTAGAGTTAAGACAGATAATGCTCATCCAGCAAAAGCCCAGTCTGTGTTGACAAGGCACAAAGTTTCAAAGCCCTGAACACCTGTTTTCTAAACTGGTAAAATTCCTCAGGTTGTAAAAGATGAGAGAACTGCTATTTCTTCTGTGTTGCTTTCAAATGTTTGGCTACATGCAAGTGTGCACACAAAGCTTCTTAGTAACTCTGGTTTTAGCCAACTTACCTGGTACCATTGGTGGAACTGCAGCTTCTTTTAGTGACTAGTCTCATCATCAAAAGTTGAAAGAGAGGCAGTAGTTAGTGACAGTTTTTCTTTCTTTCTTCCTTGTTTTCCGTAGCTGGGAACTTAATGCAACCATACCTCCATTGTTACTTGAAGGGCAACAAATAGGTTGTCATTAGATGTAAATATGTAATGCTTTTACTTATTTTTGTGGAGGGTCACTTGCCTCACCTCCTGTCTATTCAGGCATCAGTCACTAGGCTGGTCTCTGAATCAAGAATAAATTGCAGGGCTTTAAAAAACTGCTTTTGTGTGTGTCTTTATCATTCAAGACTTAAAGTGCTTGTTTGTCTCCTGAATGGCAATGAACCAGTTACGAAGTAGAATGATGGAAAGAGTGAGTCTTGTCAGAAGCTCTTAAACTTGGAGTGGTACCTGAGGCTCAAAATGGAGGTCTTGAATTCAGAGTGATTTTTTGCATTTGTAGAGGAGCTGAAAGTGACTTTAGGGCTTGTTCTCAAGTGGTAATACCTCACAGCTAGTGGGAACATAACGCTCAGCTTGGACTGTGTCTTGCCTCAATTCTACTTTGTTAAAAGGAATACTTGAGAACTCCAGGAATATCTTTTTACTGTTTGTGCGCTTAACAGCAAATACAGAATTCTGAAATGCATCAAAATTGTTTGTGCTGCCTGTGTTCACGATACAACAATTTTGGGATTGCTACCTTGTTCAGGCTTTGATTTCAGCCAATTGAAACCATCAGTTTCAGAGTGGTTATGTGAGAACTTGTTTTACAGCATTAAATATTCATCTACTGCCTTTTACATGTAGTGTTTCTGCAGTCACTGTAGCATGTTCTCACATTGGCCTATTTTCTTTTGGTGTGTTACGTGGAAAAACTTCATATTTTTCTTCATGATTTTCCTGTGTTTTAAAGATTGATTTTCTTTAAATCTCAGGCTTGTAAGCCAAAGAGTAACCTTGCATTCTTTTCTTGAACCATGGAATTAAAGATGCAAAACTAAGCAATGTGTTGTTTTACTTTTCAGCTGTTTACTGATGGAATCACCAATAAATTAATTGGCTGCTACGTGGGTGACATAACAGATGATGTAGTTCTAGTTAGGATCTATGGAAACAAGACTGAGCTCTTAGTTGACCGTGATGAAGAAGTGAAGAGTTTCCGTGTGTTGCAGGCCCATGGCTGTGCACCTCAGCTGTACTGTACTTTCAACAATGGCTTGTGCTACGAGTTCATGCAGGGAGAAGCCCTGGATCCTGAGCATGTATGCAATCCTGATATTTTCAGGTAAGCTTTTTACTTAATTATTTTATTATACAAGTTCTGTGAAGTATGTATGACGTATTGTCAAATCCAAGGGATCTCAGGCTTAATTTATGAGCAGACAGAAAGTGAATGTTATTATAAGCCTGTGTGAAGCTGACTTTGAAACTTTTGTTGGTTCACTGCTTTTGCATAGTTAATCGTGATACTTCACATACGAAAAGATGATCCTTGCTGCTCTCACAGAAGACTTCATACACATTAAAGTTTCACTTGTGTGTGTTCAGTACTTGAACGTTGATGTTTGAGAAATAATTTAACGTGGTGCAGTTAGAGAGGCTGGGTTTCATTAAAGTGAATCCTAGCTCTATTTCTAGTGTATTTCATTTGTGGATAGGTTCAAAATGTTTCACTGAGACGTTTTTTATGTTAGCAGCAAATAGGAAATGCTGATGTTTTAAGGTTTTTCTTAGCTTTTCATGTGTGCGCTGAAATGTATTTGATACCTAAAAGCTTCAAATAATTTAAATCAAGTCTTCTGAAGATGTGCAGGTCAAAGAGTAGACGTGTCAAATATACATGGTGTAGCTGAATTCCAGTTTCTGTCAGTGCTTCACACGTGGTTCTGCTTAAAGATGTTATGAGGCTTTAAAAATGCTACCCTGTGGGCTGCGCTGCTCTTGTTTATGCTCTTGTTGATTTCTTTGTCGGATCTCTTTATCACATTTCTATTAAATGTTTTTGTTGTCCTCTCCTCTTGCTGGAGATGATAAGGACTATTGCAAAAGTAACATTAATTTAAACTTTTTTTTTGAAGACTCATTGCCAGACAGCTTGCTAAAATCCATACTATCCATGCTCACAATGGATGGATCCCTAAATCTAACCTGTGGCTGAAGATGGGGAAATACTTCTCTCTTATACCCACGGAGTTTGCAGATGAGGAAGTGAATAAAAGGTAAGTGTTTGATCACTGTGTGCTTTCCTGATGTTACATTTTTTCAGGGCGATGGATGGAAGATTATATATATAATTTTTTTCTAAAAAATTCAAAAATTGGTTTGAAATCCAAGGTTAATAAAAGGCTGTTTAGAGTGACAGGGAGGCACAGTCAGACTTCAAAGCTAAAACTATAATTTGAATATGTAAAGAATCATCAAATTTCCTTAGTGAGTAGATTCCAGCCTAAATGCTCTTTATAGATAAGTGGTCTTTCTAGAATTTCTTGGATATCATTGATATGAAGTGCTTTTCTCTCTGTGTTGTAAATGCTCTGGCAAAGTTGTGGGGTTTTTTTAAAACAAAATTCTCTAGACAGGAGTAATTGAAAAATCTTAAAAATGTCAACCTAAGTATATTTACAGTTACTAAAGAGGAAAAAAAAAAAAAAGGAATCTTATTTAATCTGGTTAGATAAATATGGTATGTGCAGTTGTGTGTTGTAATGTGAGCAACAAGTGAACGAAACTCATGCTGTAAACTTTTTATCTGTGCTCCTTTAAGAATGTGCAGGATTGAGTTCAAATTCTATTCCTGAGTAGACTACTGTCATGTTTACAATAGATAATCTATAGAATTTCTTGGGGAGGACAAAATAGAATATTGTCATAATTTGTCTGCAGTAGTGCTAGGGGAAATAGTGCCCCAGTCTGAGAGAACGTCTGTTGGATTATTTGAAATAAGAGTGTAGAGGAAAATAATTAAGTTATTTCATTACAGATGCTTGGTATGGAACACACTACTAAAAATTAACTCTCAAACTTCTTACACCTGAAAAGGTTTTTAAGTGAAATTCCAAGTCCTCAAGTTCTTCAGGAAGAGATGGCCTGGATGAAGGAAAGACTGTCAAATTTAGGATCACCAGTGGTACTCTGTCACAATGACCTGTTGTGTAAGAATATTATTTACAACAAGAAACGAGGTAGGTAGTGAGCTAAGCAGTAAGTAGTGGCTTAGTTTGTTTATTCTGTAGTTTCATTTGCTACATCAGTGGTGTCCCTTTTAATGTCGGTAATGTTGGTGAACTCAGTTTGAGCTTTTAAGACTCCATGTAATGGAGACTACTTTGTTGAATTAGTTGGTTCTCATACGTGTTACTGTACAGAGAAAAATGTTGCTATTTGGTTTTATTTAATTAATTAGTTTTTCTGTAGCCTGCCTGCATGACTAGGTTTCAAAGTCTGTCATTGTTTATGATAATTCTGTTCCAGTCGTATGAAGGAGAAAAATTATACAAGTACAAAAAATAATCTGAAGACATCTCCTGTAATCTGCGTGGTGTTCTGGTTTGTGATTGTGTTGCAGCAAGGAAAGATCTTCATGACAAAGTATTTCGGTGATACTTAGCACTGCATTCAGTCATAACATCTGTGTTCTGCATGAGGTACTTGGGCATCTTAGATTGCTTTAAATACATACTTCATTCAAACAGCTGAAGGTGTTTAGGTAAAGATTAAATATATTTTTGATTATAAACTAACTCAAAATATTTTTAATAAAGAATGCCTCAAATAGAATCTATAAAGCTTCTGTATAAACTCAGTTTATTTTATTGGTTTGAGGTTCAGTTACTAAATTAATCAATTAAATACTATATTAAAATAAACAGAGAAGGCAAACTTCAAGATGCTAAAATGATGTGGTAAAATTGTTTGCATTTGCACAGCTTTCCTCCCATTTAATATCTCTGAGACCAGCTGAATGCAGTAAATTCATCAGGTTAGATATTCAAGATCCTTCTGAAATAAGGATGACTTGATCTTTTTAATAACTTCATGTGTTTGCAACAGTTCAGTAACTGTTGATATTTCAGTCAAAACTGTGAAGTAAGTGACCAGGAGTCAAAAAATCAGCATGTGAGTTTACGCTGGAATTGTGATATAGTACCAAAACCAGTATATTGTTCTTGTGTAGGTTTTTTGAGTGCTGAAACTACTTGGGGTTTTAACATTCCTCAATCACCCATTGAGGTAAAAAGTAGTTTTTAGTCACTTTTCATAGCAGAACCATGATTCAATGTGAAATAAATCAGGAATCCCTCTAAAAGGCTCGCTCTCATGGTCAATAGACTTAAAGTTCCTACTTTAAAACAACTGCTATATGCTTTTCTTTTAGTAAACAGAATGGAGGAAAAAACAATGCCAGCAGTGCTTCACTTATGAGCAATCCTACCAGTGTGTGAGTGTTTAGTGTCGGGGACAGGGTTGGGGGGAGTGGGAGGTGTACATTCTAGCGCTTTGGCTACAAGCTGGCTGGGGAAAGAAGACTTGGAAATCTGAAACAGGTGGATTGTTACACTTGTTTGAATGTTGCACGTTGTAAGACTTCTGCAATCTAGGTACAGCAGATACCTTTTTATAGTAACCAAACCTCAATGCCAGCTGTAGTATGTTTATGTCTGTCCTTTGAAAGCTCTTTCTTACTGCATTCTTATTGTAGAGCAAAAGCTTAGTGAAGCTATTTGCCCATTAGTACAATCCTATGCAATGTTGTTTTTAGAAGTGGAGGGAGTCTCAACTATAATTCTACATATATTTTGCTGGAGTTCTGTTAAGCACTGCAAAACCTTGTGTTGGTATATACAGAACTTCATGAGCACAAAATAGAATCTTCAAAGATGCGCTTCATTAGAAATGGCACCTGGCTGTATGAAGGTAACTAACAGCTGTGATGATGCTGAGACTTTACTAGATTTGCTTTATCATCTAGAGAGACTTGTGTCAGCAATATCTTGGCTTACCCTAAACTGGGACTGAGGAGAAAGACTCAGTGTTCTAGATTAATTACTTAGTTTTTTTCCTTCTCTGTTCATTAAAGATTGAGCAGTGCTGGTAATGTTTATCTAGCTTTTCAGAAGCTGGCACAAAATAACTCACTGGTTTTAACAACACTGTATTTGTTGTGTTTGTAAATGCTTAAGTTATCTACTCAACATGTTTTTGTTTTCAAGCTGCAGGCTGACAACAGATGTTAAACTCTTGTCCAGTGCAGTTAGAATGATAGTAACTTATCCCAGTGCCTCGCTTTTAGACTTGGACTCTGGATTAAATTAATGTTAAATTTTCAGACTTGGAAGAAAAATTATAATTGTCGTGCTGCTTCTGAGAAGAATTAATCTCATGTCCTTACATTTTATTTATGAGACTGGAATAGCATGTTGAATGCTATTTTCATTTGCTGGATTGTAAGTTATTTGATTTGAATTTGCTCATGCTGTGACTGAGAGAATTTGGCCTCTTCTTGCTGCTTTGTTAATGGCCATTCTCAGTTGCTCAGGATATGAAATTAGTAAGTGTTATTTTACATAACTCATAATAATTATCAGTGTGAATTACTCATTGAAGGATACAACTCAGAACTTCTTGTTGCTCTTAATTGCAATTTGTACATCTAGATAATCAAAATATGCTTAATAGCACATTTATAGAGCTCCTGTTCTGATGGTGTTCAATATATATATATATTTTTTTTTTTAACATAAGCTGGGAGTATCCAAAATGTGTTCCAAAAGTACTCAAATCTTGATGTTCAGAAAGACCAAATACCAGTGTTCTTTTGTCGATATCTGTGTTCTTTTTGAATGTTTTAAATTCTTCTGCCAGGAAGTTAAGTGTGTAGGTAGATGGCTAGTTTTGTTCTGTTTATTCCCTCTGCCTACCCAATGTTTTCTATGATCTTTGGTAGGAGTCTGTGGGTGCTCAGTGCTTCTGAAGACTGAGGTATGTTTAAGGCTTCTAGTTTTGATCTAAAAACCTATTTTAATTTTGCAAAGATATATTGGGTATTTATAATTAAAATTATTCTGTGGGTGTGTGACCCTATTTTGTATTTTCAGAAAAGGTAGTAGCCTGGATCACTGTCTTCTCTGAAGCTGTCGTGTAGGATGTCAGGGGCCCACCTGATGAGCAGGATAGGAGAGAACTTTCAATATATCATCCTGCTGTAGTAACTACAGCTAGTACTTGCTTGTTAAAGTGTTTACCTCATTAAACCTTTGAAAACGAAGGGCAGCTATAGAGAGGTGTCATCACTCTCCTGCCTTTCTGTTCCCTGAGGAGATCAAACAGATGTCCTCTTGATTACCTTTTCTTCTATTTGAAAAGTGAATTCCAGGTGTATAAAACACAACATGGATTCCATTTTGTATCTTTATACAATGTTAGTAGGTGAGATTGTGTTGCCTACTGTAGTAGGCACCCTTTTAATGAAAAGGATAGATTGTGCTTGAAAAGCAAATATTCTTCAACAACTTTATTTCTTTTGGCAACAGGAGCTGCTCCAGAGAGATGACAGAGCATAGTTTTAAGTAACGTCTCCTTCAATAAAACACAGATCTGCTCAGACTACTGTATTACTGGTCTCCTGCTCACACTGATACTAGTGGGATGTACAATTCACTATGTTTCTTTAAAACCTCAAAGCAAACTGCTTCACTGTAGCGTAACCATACCTTTAGAAGTGGCTTTGCAGTATTAACTGCAGTAAATCTTTAAAGGAAATTCTAATACTGTGGATATTTAAACTATGAGAACGATGCTTCTTCTAAACGAAGGTGGTTAAAACTCCATGCTAGCACAAGTCTGAAAGAGATTAATAAGAATACAGGATCTTTTCGCTTCGGAGTTTCGTGTTACCACATATGAGTTGCCAAACTTTCTTCATCTATTATGGATCACATGTGCCATTGTTGCTGCCTTGTGATGATATGCGCAGTGCTACATAAGTGCACTGAGCTGATGTTTTCTCACATCTCTTGTTTTTGTGCCTCCCCATTGGAGAGTGCCTGGTAACAGCATCATCTGTAGCTTGTTAGATTCAATTTCTTATTCCATAAGACTATTATTTATAGTAAAAATTAAATTTTGGCTATAATTAAAAACAAACATAATGGCGCATACGGGTATGTTTCAAGATGAAATTTAGACATTGAAGAAATTTATTTTAAGGTTTATCTTATGCTGGTGCTTTACAAGCAGACTTTAACCTGCTGTGTTTTTATCTAATGTGGGGAAAAGCTGAATACATCAGTTTCTGATGATGTTAGGGTGGGGGGCATCAGGAGGTCAGTTGTGTTGCGGAGCATTAACCAAGGTTGGGCGGTACATTTTGACTGGCTTGTAACTTACAGGTGTTTGTTTTTGAAAGAAGTGCTAAAGAACCAATGAGAAGCACAAGCACGTGCAAGTGTATGAATCTGCCAGTCGAGTAGCGGCAGAAGTTGGTCTGTGACACTATCATAAGATCTTGGCTGCATCTGCTGTAAAACTTCTTGTCCCTTCAGACCCTTCAATTTTCCATTGCCAGCAAGATTTTCCTGGGAGGAGCTTGCCACTTTGCATTCTCATGTTGGTTTGTCAGAGCCTAAAAGGTTTAACCTCATGACTTTGGTAAGCAATCCTCTTTTTCTGTGGAAGCAAGGGTAAATCTGACTTGGAGGATTGTGACTAAATGATTTTGTTAGTGTTTTGGGGTTTAACTACTATTATAAGTGCTTAGACAAGAAGATGGATGCATCTGGAAAAGATAGATGTGTTATTGTTTCAAACATGCTAATGATGAACTGCGTAGACAGAGGGAACACTTCTAACAAAGTTGTTCTGTGTTAACTTGCTTGGGCTGTTTGCCTGATAGAGCTATTGTATTTGATATGTGCAATATTCATAAATTCTTAGGAGGCATAGTATTAGATTCTTAATCCTCAGCATAGAAAATATCTAGTAGTTAACTTTTAATGTTATTCTTAATTTGCTTTTTTGGTAGAGATATAATAGCATTAGTATCTATAAGTTTTCTTTAAGTGATGCTAACAAGATTGTTCATTGTAACGAGTATGTTTTTATAAAGTAAATATGCAACTAGTCATTGAAAGAGTGAGCATAGAGAGGCAGACGAGTACAACTGTGAACATTAGCCATTTCACCACAGTGTGGAAAATGTAAGCTTTTACATTTTAAGGTTCCACTGTGAATAGCACACTACTTCCCTTTCTGTTGCTCCCTTTAAATGAAAAAGCTCTAATTTTATGTAGTTATTCAAACTTGTTGATGTCTTTAAAGCTTTCTGTGATGTAGGCGTGCTTGAGCAGGTTCAGTGCTGTATTACATCTTTGAGTGAAGCACTTTTCCTAGCTTCCCCAAAGCTAACTACTGACTAGTAAAAAAGTGAAGTAATTTAGGAACATTTGGGGCTGATACCACTCTGTCAGTTCTTATTTACACAATAGTAGGTAGCTTCATTGTTTTAAGCATTGTCTTACCAGTATCTTGAGAGTAGTTTAAGCCAACTTAAAACAAAAAAGGGGCAACTATTAGAAAAGTCTTGCTTTATAAGTGTGCTTGAAGAAAGCAAGGAATATCAACATACTAAAAGGAAATAGCAACCAGTTGCAACATGTTAGTCTGCCATGGTTGCACACTTGTCTTAGAATAAATAGGACTGTAATTTTTTAAGTCGGGGAAAAAGTGATCTGTGATTTCTATGTAAAGCTTAAATTAAGGCTTCTCTACCATATTTCTCATTTTGAAGGTAATTGATGCCCTCGTGTGGTAGAAGTTAAAATTCTGCTAATCAAAGTTTTAAAAAGAAAAAAAAAAAAGAGCATTTTAAGCTCTGATTATTAAAAGAGATCTCTTGAATGAGTTTTCAAAGAAGTCTCATACCTTAAAAACAGTATTGCCTTGTAAAATCTGAGTGCACACAACTGGGTACAAATAAGATAGAAATGTGCTTTTTTTGTTTGTTTGTTTCCCTAAAACTTCAAAGGACACCAAAGGATTAGGGCCATGATTTCATTTGATGTGGACTCTGATGTTGCTGCTCTTGTCTCACATAGGTGATGTGCAGTTCATAGACTATGAGTACTCTGGATACAACTACCTGGCTTATGACATTGGCAATCACTTCAATGAATTTGCAGGTAAAAATTGGATTTATGAGGTGAAGTGGACACAAAAAAAAAAAAAACATTTGAGTTGTCATTCTTGTACCATGTTCTGTTTTTCTTTCTATATCTAGGTACATGCATGTAGCTATTAATCTAATGGTCTAAAAATGTGTTAATGTCTCTACTAGCAGGCCAGTTATGTCCTTCCTTTACAGCTCTCAGGTTTTGCAGCTCATCTGTGAAGTGATGCAGCAGAGACTCAACACACTGTACTGAAATACCATGATGTATCTGCAACAGCATAAGTAGTTATTTAATACATAGAATATGCTGTGTGATCACAAAGTTAGAAATGGCAGACTTTACATTTTTTTTTCAGTAGTTTTGCATTTCTTTGCTAAGTACTTGCCCTTCAGTTATGTACTAAAATGAGAAGTAGAGGCTAAGAATGTGGTTGGAAAAAGTGTCAGATTTTAGCATTAAGTTATGGATAGATTCATTCATTTGCTACTTGAGTTTCTTCTGATAAATGCCCCTTCCTTTCACTCCGTAAGAGTGAAATAACCTTGTTTATGCAGTGCTACTTTAGAAGATGGAGTGATAGGGAAAACATACACAATTATTAATATAGGTGGAAAGTACAGTGTGGTGAAATTAGGAGCCTTTGGTTATGTACCTGTCATTGCTTTTCAAATGTCAAGTTCAGATAACTTAACCAAGTATGCTCTTGACATTTTAAAAATTTAAATATTTAGGAAACAAGTTAAATTCTCCACAAAATATATTTAAAAGCTTTTGATTAATTTCATCTGGAACTTTTAAGAGTCCAAGTATATCTTTAGGGAGGTAGGTGCAGTAAGAAGACTACACACAAGTAATGTTCTTTTGCCACTGACAAGCAGCTGTATGTCACCTTTCCTGTGTTTGATGATCAGATATCAGGAAGAATTTAAGTGCCAGGAGATTGCAGTGGTCATAAAATAGAACTGAAAGAGAATTAGGTATGAAAATGTCATTGCCATGGACATAGGTGTTAGTAGCGTGTATGGCCACAACCGTCTGGCCATAAGTAGTAGTGTAGATTTGTGGCATGTAATCTGCTGAGGTGAAGCTACTTGTCCTGTGCAAGAAAGCTGTGTACTGTAAACTCTTCCCTGATGCACTTGTACAGTAGGTCTGACATTTCCTTAGTGTTTTTCTGTGCGTTATATGTCAAATCTAGAGTTTCCAGAGTAGAGGGGTCCTATTGCATATGCTTTGTACTACTGATTGCAAATGTGCTTTCTCAGGAATAGCATGTTTAGTATCTAGTTTACTGAGCATACATACTGCTTTAGTCTTCTGGAAGGGGAAACAGAGGAAAGGAGACCAAGAGTGTTTTTCAAAGGAAGAGGTGGTGTGGCTAAGAATGACTTCGAAGCAGGATTAAAAATATTTTTCCACATCTTCTGGGCAGTGATCGACTGTGATCCAAGTCTTGGGACTCCTGGTAGATTGTGTGGCCTGCTGTTTAGAATGTCTAGTATAGACAAATTTGGAGCTGTGTGCTGAAAAGAGCAATATGGCAGAAGGGAATAGTTACGGAGATAAGGCTTGTAGTTCTATGTATGGGGAGGCAGAGTAGACTGCTCTAAAGGTTTAGTCTTACAGAGATGAGCTGACAGCATGTACATATCTGGATTCAGCTTTGGATAATACTGCATATGAGCTCCTATTTTATGTGCGGGAGGATTTCTGCTTTGCAGTGCAGATTTTTTTTTTTAAGATTTGTTAGAGCTAAACTTGTTGCATTTCAAAAGAAATGGAGTGTGCATGTGGATGAAAACGCCATAAATCTTTCTGTGTTGAATGCTATGTGATTCTTGTGTGAGAAATTCTTGCCAGCAAGTAACTAATAAAATCGTATCAAAGTAAAAGTAATTATGTCTTTTCACATCAATTTATGTGTTTGTATTTGTGGGGGGAGAGAGGGAGAAGCAGTCGCTGGTACTGTGATTCTAATGGTCTTTTTAGATACTCTAAGATTCAGATCTTTTTTTTTTTTCCCCTCCCATAGGAGTAAATGAAGTAGACTACAGTCTTTATCCCAACAGAAAATTGCAGGAACAGTGGCTGAGATCTTACCTCGAGGCCTACAAAGAATATAAAGGATTTGGCACAGAAGTCAGTGAAAAAGAAGTTGAAGTTCTATATGTTCAAGTCAATCAATTTGCACTGGTAAATAACAATCTGTGGATATGAATGTTAAATGCTGTATTTTTTCTCTGTGGGCAAATAACTGTCAGTTTCTTAACCTGAGTGCTGTGTTACATAAAGAAAAACTTCTTAGCTCGTTCTGTGAATGTTTTCACCACTTTGTGTGTTGGCTCCAAGCAAAAGGGGCAGTGAGTGTTCAGAGAAGGTGATGAATTTTTTTAGCAAGTATAGCTACTGGCTGGCAAGTCCCTGTGTTGGCAGGAGCTTATGATGGGTCTATGCTGAACTCCTAGTAAGACAGCAGAAAAACAAGGTAGAACTCCATAAATATGTATAAGTCTTCTGATTTAAAATTTTTTCAAAGATAATTTTTTGTTAGTGTAAAACTAGGATTATTCTGACTTTTCTAACGAGTGATTAGACCTCTCTTTAGAATCTTTCAGTACTACCATAATTCTTTCCTTCCCTTCAGTGTTCTGGAAAGCTGTGTGATTTAAACTGTAGCAAAATGTGTATGCAGTCTTAAGGGTCCCATGGGATTTTCTGAGGGCTGACTGTGTGAGTCTGTTCCCCTGATCGTCTTCTATATTGTGTGTCATACTATCTCCTGTCTGCTGTCAGTCTGTCTTCTCAGACTTCAGATGTAAAAGCTTCACTTCATTTTGCTTTCTTCTAAAAGTGAAACATGCTAAACTATTCTTAGGCTAACTAAGGCTAAAATGCCTGTTAGATCTTAATTTAATTTCTCTTTCTGACTAATCCATACACACCAGAAATGCCTTCAATAAGGAGATTATCAAGCTCATGTCCATTGTGTGTATTTGTTTGAAAGTTGATTAACAGTCACATCATTCATAATAGTTTCAATCAGAAATTGAGCATGGGCCTCCAGGCTGTCTGGACAATCTGGACTGGTAAAGCAGTCATGGTTGAAACAGGTTACAAACGTGTAAATGGTGAGGAGCTGCTTTTCTGTAGCTACAGATCATGCTTTTGTCCAAGTCAGTAGTGAAAGTGAGTTGTGGTTGTTATAACCTAAGGGCATAATCAAAGGTTCAACTGGAATTCTCTATATACACTAGAGTTGAATATATGTAGGATATTAACAGGAAATTGTTTAATAAGTAACAGTAGTAGCAGTTCTATTTCTATTAACATGATGTATGTAATTGCACAACAATTTACTTAATAGATGATGAACTCTCTCACAACTGTAGCATCATTTTTCTTGGGGAAAAAAAACCACAACAAACGTAGTGTCTGGAGGCCAAAAATTTACTCTGCCAGTAGTTTTATAACACATATCAGTCTCTTTGATGAAGACATACTAAGCAAGTTTACAAAGATGGATTTGGAGAGAGTTCTCTTGTAGATGATTCTTTTATTTCAGTGTAAAAATGCACTTAAATATGCTGTTATACAGTGCTAATCTTTCCTAATTTTTTGCCATTAGGCTTCCCACTTCTTTTGGGGATTGTGGGCTCTAATTCAAGCCAAATATTCCACCATTGACTTTGATTTTCTAGGGTAAGTATGCTTGCTTCATATAATCATACAGTAATTGAGGTTGGAAGGGAATTTTGGGACCCTCTGGTTAAGTTATCCCAGCTATCATAATCTGTGAGGTTTGAGGTGTCTGATCTGTGTGGTTGTACTGTAACTTCTGAACTGAAAATAAATGCAGACAGCTTTTATAGTCTTTTTTTCCTTTCTCCTGAAAACTTTCTAAATTAATATATGCCTTTGGGCTAAAATAGTGTAACAAGGCAAGGCTTTTAACTAGAGGAGCAAATGCTTTTAAGGATAAAAGGCTTTTTTTGAAGAGACAAAGACACAGAAGCAGACCAGTCATTGCGCTGTGCTAGTTGTCAGAAGATGTATGTCCCCAACTGTAAGAGTCAGGAAATGGGCCTCTTGTATAAAAAAGTTAGCTTACATCTTATTGCACAGAATATTGATCTTAGAAATTCTGAACATTTGGAAAAGAGCCTCTGTAATGCCAACGAACATTAAGTTTTACCTACTGAAACAATGGCTAATGGTTCTGTTTCATGTAGATGTCTGTGGCTTTTTTTTTTTTTTTTAAAGTCTTTCATCACAGCAAGCAGTAAAAGATATCTGTCTTTTGTTGGAAACTGGCAGAAGTGATAAAATCCATCATTTCACTTTAGCACGAGTCTCTGCTTGAGTGGAGGATATTTTTTCGTTAATGACTAAGCCAGTTTACTAGCCTTAGTTGTGCTGCTGTGTAAATGATGCCGATGTGAATTTCTTGTGTGGCTTTGTACCCAGTTAATTCCAAGGAGAAGTGCTTATAAGTAACCGCTAGATGGCGCAAAAAGCAAGTAAAAGCACAAGTGAGGAGACCCAGCCGTGTTGCAGTTCGGGAAAAATAGCGTTGTTCCAATGAACAAGATTTTTTCTTTCCTTTTTTTGGGTGGAGGGAGGGAGCTGTAGCTGTCAGTTGTTAGGACATTTTATTAAGAACAGTAAGCATGAAGATGGCACCTCTGATAACGCTCAAAGTAGCATTTATTTTGCAAACTCTAGCAAGCTGGGAGGAGTGGCGGAGTGGTGGTATTGAGGAAGTACCATAGTACGGTTGGTTATTCTATTCTTCCTCCTTTGGTAGGTGCTATGGGTTAGTATTTGAAACAAGCCTCTGGGGTAGGTGAACTTCTGAGTAGACCCAGCCTGTTTCTCATTGTCTGCTCTTAACTTCAGATCTTTTTCCCTTTAAATAGGTATGCAATTGTTCGTTTTAACCAATATTTCAAAATGAAGCTGGAGGTCATGATGTTAACTCTCCCAGAGTAAAGAAGAGTAAACTTACCAAGTGGATAGAGAATCCCTGAATCTTTTCTGAACGGATACTGGAAAAAAAGTTAAACATTTGTTGAAGTTCTGTAATGCTCACTTGGTGGTTCTTGCTTTATAAATAATGCCTCTAAACAGTCCTTCAATGTTAAATTTAATATGAAGAGCATACGTACTGCTGTTGATATAAAATGGATTAGAAATTTGCTAAATCTGAAAAACTTGTAGAAATGGCAATTTAATCCTTTTTTGTAATTTAACATGTTGTATGTGAAATATTTATTTTAAGTTTAACATGATTCCATTGCTGCTTTCATCAGTTTTTGTAAAAGTTGGGTGCAGATGGTGAAGTTTTTCCAAAGGATTTGTTTAACAACTTGTTTTATTGAGCTGCATTAACTTATATTAGGATCTACACAGTCAGAGGATGTCAACCTTTTAGATCTGTACAGTCAAAATGTGAGATACTGGTCACAGGTGTGTAGTAACTAGGGGAAAAGGTTAGGATGATCTTTTTAAGTTTTTTTTTTTTTTAATTTTATAAAGAAAAAGGTAGCTTTCCATCTTATGGTACTTATCTTTTGTATAAGAATCAGCCTTCTTGCTAAAGTGATAAATGATGTTTTGACTTTCCTTTCTTTGTGTTAAGCTGTTGAAGCGTGAATGTTCTGTGGCCATCAAATTCTTTTAGACTCCATACCATCACAGTGTTAGATGGGAAGTGTACCATCTCTAACTTCTGTGGGAAAGCTGCTTGCTTATTAAGCGTACTTCTTAAACAAAAGACCACTGTTCAAAATTTGTATTATTTTTTGAAACTTGATTCAAAATTTGAACACTATTCTGGTCTCTGATATGCTTCAGCAGTATCTGACGAAATGGACTATTGAACTGCAAATTAGTGAGCAGAGATCCTGTTGCACTGGGGAGCAAGACACTTAGGTTTACAGTTTGTTATATTGTATATTGTCTTTCCTTCTGCTTTGTCATCATCTAACCTTGGATTCTAGTCTTAAATGCTTGATCCTGTTGTTGCAAATTCTGTGAGTCTGTTTTTCTTCTGTGGCAGCAAATTACGTTTCAAAATCTCCAGTTTGAAGGATAACATGAAGAAGTATGACTTGAACAATGGGACTTTGATAGTCACACACAGCTTTTTAAAGCTATTATACCAAGAATGGCCTGGATTGCAAAATGTGAATTGAAAAGAAGATGTTTACTTAAGAAAACCATATGTAAGCTTAAGTGGAAAAGAGGCTTTAAAACTCTTTTAGAAGAGATGGGGAGAAACAGCAAAAATAAAACCAACAAGGCAATTTGGAGTTGGGCAGGCATATACTCAGCTCTTGGGTGTACTCTGAAAAACTTTGCACTTTGGTCACTTAAGTGCCCACATGTACAAAGTCTGTGTGTGCATATACACATGCAGTCACAAACTTAGCTGAAGAGTAAATATTATGGGGAGAAGCTCCAGCAAAGATATTTATTCTAACTTGCTTTGTGACATACTGTTGTGTGTGTGTGTATATATACATATAAATAACATATACATACATGTGTGCTTTAAAGCTTTTTTGATTCTTTTAATACAAAGAAGGTTGATGTGAATGAAGAATTTTCACCTTGAACAACCATTTTGAATGGCATTCTTTTTCTTTTTTTTTTTTTTTAATAAAAGCAAGGGTTGGGTTTTCCCCTCTTGTTTATATTCATCTCTGAAACTTTTCTTTTTTGTTGTTTTTTAATTATTTAGTCAAAACCTTAACTGTAATGCAATGGTAAAACTGGGCTTTATTTTTTTTCTGTAACTTGAAGTTGGATAACCCTTTTTGTTAGCATTTGCTAGCTGGAGGCTAATATACTGGACAAACTATCTTGGTAGTTAAATAGAAATGAATAGCTAAAATTGACATTTATATTTTCTTTTGTAGCGGATATAGAGGATGTTGCTAGAGCTCATGAAAGCACTGAAGATTCTCATTTTCTGTAGTTTCCCCCTGTAGGCATGATTGACATATATTGAGTAATAGCCTGCTGTCTTTGTAGTCCCTTCAAGTATGGCATGATCTCTTTGGAAGTAAGGTTGATAAAGATTTTAGAACTTGATTTTTTTGTTTATTTTCTTCAAATGGTGTCTTTGTTTCTGGCAATGTTGCTTTGTTTTTAAAAAATGTGTAAGAGGCTGTGAAATTCAGTTGGTTTTGGGAAGTCCAGCACTTGACAGATCCTGTCTAACTTTCCCAACAGCTTGCAACCCACATTCCCTTTTCAAGTACCAGTTCTATTTAAGTTTGAAATCAGTGTAACTTTTTTTCATAGTGTTTTGTTTATATAGTTCAAGTAGCAATAACTGTAGAAGTGGAAACTTAGAAACTTGCTTCTGCAGAACCAAAGCTCTTTGTGAACGCAGCTCAATCTCATTCTTATGGAGTTAATTTCCACTGAATCTCCCATAAAAGCACTTTCAAGCAGATAGTAAATACTGCAAGCTTTTTCTGAGCCATTTTGAAGAAGCACAAGGATTATCACAGGTTATAGTGGTCAACTTTGCAGTACTGATAGAGGCTTTCATTTTGCATGTTGAAGTTCATTTTACACACTTTAATACTGCTTTGCATCAGCTTTCTTTCAAGACAAGTACAGAATAAAACAATTCCTGATACAAGGTTCAGAGAAAATACTGTAAACTTTTCCAAAATGAAATGCCAGTTACCTTGATTTTTGTACCACATCACATTTAGCCAGTAGCACTCAGATATTCTCATTTGCAACAGAATATCTACAGATGTATTAAGTTTGAAGCAGTAGTTGTTTTCAATAGCATTGCAAATATTGAGGTAGCTCGAAACTGTGAATACAGGACATTCTGAATGTAAGTTAGGTACTAAAGCACCAAACTAGAGAATGTGTACTTGTTCTGATTAGTTTCTCTCAGTCTCTTAATAGCAACGTTAAGATATTTGAAGGAGGGCAAAAAAGACTGAGCTCTAGAAGCATCCTGTAGTAGTTTTGACTGTGACTTGCCAAGAAGATACTCTGTTGCCTTTATGTTAAGCTAAGGGCATAAATGCCAAAATTAATAATTCTTATTGTAGTTAAACCTGTAATGTAAATATAAAGAGGATTATTAATAATGGCATTCTTGCATAAATAGCATCAAGTCAATAGACCATAGTGGCCTGGTTGCTTTTGTAAAGCAGAATAGTGTGAATTTTTTTCTTCTCATTTCTGCAGTCAGATCTGGCTAATCAGTGCTTAATTTTTTAAGTCGTTTAAGCATTACAGGTTTCTGAGTAGCTGATCTGTTCTTACATAATTTTAAATTCGTTTATACGTCTTGATTTGCAGTTTGGAATTACCAAATTCGTATTAACCAGATCTGACTGTGTATGTATATAAAACAGTGTAAATAACCATTTGTAAATTAGTGTGAATTGTACTGTACCTTGCTTTTATGGACTTGTGTATTGCATTGTATTCTCTCCTATTTTGTAGAAATTTTGATGTAAAGAAGAAATCTAACTCTGTGTGCTGACTTCTTTTGTTAAATTTATCTGTAACAAAGCATAGTAGTTACGTTCAGGTATCCATTTATAGCCTTGGACACCCTGTGTCTTTTTTCCCTGCTACCTTTTTTAACATCTTGCTCTTGGGAATGATTCTGGGGAAAAAAAAAGTAATTCATACAATGCGGTATAGGGAAGGCTGTTAAAATTTTAAAAAAATCCTATACATTCTTGAATGCTGGTGACTTCTAAACCATAAGCATGTTGAAGTACTCTTAAGTGTGCGCTCCCGTGTGACAGCAATTGAGTTAGTTGTGATAGAAGTCTCCGAATTTAAATGTTTTTGGTGGATATAGACTTAAAATAGGATTATAGTTGCTAACTTGTAAATGCTTATAATAACCCCCTCAACCTCAGATCACTCAAGTGGTTCTACCAGTCGCTTTCGTTCACACTAGAATTATTGTTAGTTTGCTTAGACTATCTGAGACTTAGATGAGCAGGTATTTTTCCTGTGTGCACTGCTCTCCCTCTGCAACCTCCAAACCCTAATTCATTAGGGGAAACATGATTATAAAAGCTTCCTTTCCATACTTAATCCATATTTTTTTAACTGGAATTCTGTTCTGATTTATTAGTATATGACTCCTCATCAGAATTATTTTGTTTGAAGTCCCTTGCTAAAGAGGCCTTTGACCTTGGAAGTGAACCATAGGCAGTCGTTGTCCCCAAATGGCCAACTGTATTTCATTACTGTTGCCTTTCAATACCAATCTTGAACTGCGTGATGTCCTACAAGCTTGTCCGTGGTGTGTTTTTACTGGAAAACACGGGTGTGTGAATCTTGTCGTCCATCTGACAAATTGATCTTGATACAGTTGTCACATGTTGTCAGCTCTACCTGCACTGGATGAAAAGTACACATGCTTATCAGCGTTGACAGTAAAGTTACTGAGGATCCTGGGAAGTGAGCTGGTCATAGAAGTGTTTGTCAAGAGATGGGTTGGGCTCAATAGATACAGGTAAAAGGAAATCCAAGTGGAAATGAGAACTTCAACTTTCAACGTAGCAAGTTATTGAATACGCCTATTGCATGGTGTAAGGACAAGAGCAAATGGGTAAAGCTTGTTTCCAAGTTTAAAATTTATTTTAAACCGTTTGCTAGCTAGAAAAGGCTTACACAATTATTAACTCCTGCCAAAAGGAATCTTAAGGTAACTGCTTTTCTAATTATAACTTTGCTCTGTAGCCCACTGTAATATAATTTCTTGCTCAGAGTAGTTCTCCCTGTAGCTAGTAGAAGAGGTTCACCTCATCCTATCTATTTTGTTTTGGGTTAGCTATCTGTTCTTCATAGATATTGTTTTTTCTTTTTGTATTTTTAAATGTGTTCGCAGATGCATGTGAACGTGTAGACTTCATGCTGAATGTTTTCATTAGATTTAAGAGAGATGAAAAGCTGTGACCTTTGGTCTTGCACAGTATAGATCTTCTGTTAGCCAGCCACATAACTTAGGGGAACTCTTGGCAGTGAGAAGCCACAAAAATTTAGGTGGGGTATGTCAGAAGAAAGCAACATTTGTGGCCTTTAGACCTCTGGAATGGAAAGGAAAATGTGCAAATTGTTTGCATGTGCCAGTTGTGTGGAGGTGCTTAAATGATGTGGTGAGATGCTGGCTGATTTTTTTTTTTAAGTGACTTTTCTAAGTGGTTTATCTGTACAGTTTTAAGTTGCTGTACCTAGAAACCAGCCAAATTAGGGGGGCAGAGAGGCAGGAGACATTCTAAAGAAGTACCTATATGTTAAAATCTGGGCACAGTTAATTTGCAACCCTTCAGGTGCACGTTGGGCCTTTTCATTTATTTAACAGTGTAGATAATGTTGTGCACCAGGTGGTTCAGTAAGGTTTTATTCTTGATAAATGTCAGAAAACTGACTGAATGTGGGCTGGGCCTGAAGTCAGAGTATATGTAGTCAGACCTTAGAACAAGTGGCCAGTCTTTACCAGATTAACCCCCTTCTGATTCATAATTTTACAATGTTTGCTCCTGTAGCCTTCTGAAAAATTTTGAGCATTTGTCTTGGATTCCCTGTTGAGTAGAATTTTAATTAACAGCCCCCCAAAATACGTGATGCTTATGGACCTTAGGAAATCCTGGTGCCGGTTAGGTCATGTGAACATTTAGAAAGCACATTACTTGAAAATCTAGTGAACGTTAAAAATAAATGGTGAAATTACTTCAGGTACTGCACCAGCCTTATGTTCTGTGATGTTGCAACTGCGTGTTTTTTCATGATGTAGTATTTTTTTTTCCACATAGTAGAGATTCATGCAAAATACAAGATGAAGGAGACCACAGAAGAGAAGCATTAAAAACTGTTACATGCAGTCCCGTAAAATGCAGAATAGATTGGGGAAAAAAGTTTCCTAGCTTTTGGTGGTAGTAACTGTCAACTGTTATACAAAAAAAAAAGGAAAAAAAAAAAAAAAAAAAAAAAAAAAAAAAAGAGTAGTTGTTGAGTCTTAAGTGTGTGACAGACTTTTTTTTTATTTTATTTTTTTTAATAGGTAGAAACATTCTTAACATTTTGTATCTCAAGTACAATCTGTGGTAGTCAGTAATGCTGCTTTGTACACAAGTGCTTTGAATAGTCTCAGCACCAAGAATGTATCCAATCTTTAATATAACTTAGATTCTTTAGTTCTGTCTCAAGCGTCTTAATCCAGCTGTCTACAACCCTTTAATTACTTGCAGAAACAGGGCCATAGCATAGTAGGGATATATTCCTCTTTGTGTCTCTTTTTATTTAAAAAAAAAAAAACAAAAACAATATTTGCCAGTGTTCTTTTAAACATGAGTCCATTTATGTGCTGTGAATAAGTTAAATTTAAGAAGCAACCTTTATCTTCTGGCACTGTCATCCCCCCAAATGTCCCCATGACCCTTTTTGTATGTTGTGGAGTTTAGGTGCATCACTTATCCATTGGAGTGAACTGTATTTCTTTTGAACTAAATGTTATTGAAGCTCTATTATAAGGCCTTCTACCACTGATTAAATGAAGTAATGTACCTTCAAAAGAGATTTATATTGTGTAAATAATTTCAAACTGCAACAATAAAGTTTGTTTCTAACTGCACTATTAGCGTGTATTGTGGTGACTTTACTTTCCCCAGATTTAAAAAACTGTGGAATACTTAAAGAGTTGTTGTAGGCTTTTGACTTCTGTTAAAATGCATACCTCTGTCTGGGATTAATGACCTATCTGAAAGTGCAATGCTTTGAGCTAGTGCTCTGCTTGCACAATGTTGACTCTTAAAATTTTTGCATATTAAATAGCCTAGGTCATTAGCTATTAAAATTTTCACACCTGGGAGGCAGGACTTTATTGAACATGGCTGTCAGTAGGGATCACTACTGAAGAATTGGGGGAAGAAGTCCATCCTGACGTCAAGTTCTACTCGTGCACAGTAAGGGCTGTGCTAATGACTTTGTTTTACAGGCTCTGCCTCCAGTGCTAGGGGCATAATGTTAGGCAGTTGCTTGGGGAATGTATAATGAGTATTAGTAAAATTCTGCTGCCTTTGTTTTATTTGTGCAACTGTAAAGACAGTGATTTCACCCAAGCAGAAACTATTTGGGCTTGAGTACAAAGATAGGCTGAGGGAGCTGGGCTTGTTCAGCTTGGAGAAAAGAAGGCTGCAGGGTAACCTAATTGAAGCCTTTCAGTATCTAAAGGGAGCCTACAAAGAGCAGGGGAATCTGTCCTTTGAAAGGGTTGATAACAGCAGGACAAGGGGAAATGGTTTTAAGTTGAGGGAGGGAAGATTTAGGTTGGATGTCAGGGGGAAGTTCTTTACAGAGAGAGTGGTGAGGTGCTGGAACAGGCTGCCCAGAGAGGCTGTGGATGCCCTGTCCCTGGAGGTGTTCAAGGCCAGGTTGGATGGAGCAGGGGGGTTAAATGAGGAGGTTGGTGGCCCTGCATGAGGCAGGGGGGTTAGAGATTTATGATCCTTGAGGTCCCTTCCAACCCTGGCCATTCTGTGATTCTGTGAGCAACCTTAAGCAATTGACCACTGTGAATTTATTGAGGGAAACGTTGAATCAGAGTTTGTATCTGTAATGGATCTTCCTTCTCACTGAAAATTTCTCTCCTACATACACTAAGTAGAAAATTTTAGTTTTCTTAGGTCTAGTGGGCTTGATTAAAGAGTTAGCAGTCATTGTGTATGTTGGAAGGTATGGATAGAACAAGCAAGTCCTGTTGAGTGCAAAAGAAAACATACCATTGGGCTTGAGAGAAACCATTAACCCTGCTTTGTAGGATACTTGAGATCCATGCATCTTGGTTTAAGTAGATTTTTTTTTTTTTTTTTTTTAAATGTAATAATTCCTTCTTAATTTGGAAGACATCTGCCTTTTAAACTTACTGGTTGTTTTCCATTAGTGCAGTGGTCATACAGTAATGTTCCGTATGCACAGTAATTGTGGCCTGAGTCTCTAAAACTTCGAAGCATTGCTGTCAGTGACCTAAACCTGTGTTTTACTAACACTAGGCTTTTTGTCAAGGCACTGTTTCTGTTACAGGATGGGTAAGACCAAAGTTGTTTTTCAGTTTAATGGAAAACATTCAATGACAAGAGATCTAGGGTTAGTCATCCATGCAGAATTGCTGCCTGGAACAAGGAGATGATGTTTCTCTGGAGTCTCTGTCTTGGCTTTACAGAAAATGCTGAGCAAGCTCATACTTGAGCTAGAAGTTGTCACTGGGGAGTAATACAGAGTTTTTTGAAGGCCAGTCTAGAAATCAAGATTTTGAGTAGAGCATTTTCCTCAAGATTTGTAACGAACTACAAACGCATGATAGGGAAAACAGTGGTGTATGTACTGAACTTCAGTACAGTATGTGTTGAAATGTCAACTGTGTAAAATGTGCACCTGTGGAAAACAAAGGTTGGCTTTAATTTTTAAGTCTCTATCAGATTTATTAAATAGAAGCCTTTACTCCCATTAGCACAGTAGAGTCAAGTTGCACAGGAGTGTGTTGGAATCCTCTATGCATGTCAACATGTGTGTCCTAATGACAGCCTCATTTTACAACCCACCCTTTCTACTGACAGCTTTTCCCTCTTTAAGTTTCACAATGTGCTTTTACTGCTGACAAGTAAGGACTGAAACATTTCTTTCATCGGGAGCTAGCTTTGAAATGGCAAGTGTGACCTTTGGCTTGTATACTCTTGGAAGTCTTGCTTAAGCTGCTAACCATAACTTGTTTTCTTCCCATCCCCTGTTCATGTTCCCTGCAATTAGGCTGCAGTTCATCCTTATCTTAATTTCTTGCAGTGCTATTTAGAATAATGCTACTTGTCAGTATTTCAAAGTTTTAGGAGTATGAATAGAGCAGTTACTTCAAAGGCCAAAGATGGTGTCTCCTTCAAGTGACTTCATGACTAACTGGGCAAGTCAGATGCACAGCTTTTTCTTCATTGCAGTTATTTTCTGTTGACACCTTTTTTTTGTGTCCTGTGGAACAGAACAGGAGGACAGACTCCAGCACTTACCCGCAGGTGGCAATGAAGCTGCAGGCTGTGTCTCATTGTTCAAGAAGCATTTCAAGACAGTTTATTTCTGTAGTATAGCATGCCATACATTGAGTTAAATAGGAAAAGGGTGTTCTTTTATCTCTCGATGAGTTGCAGCCAAGATCTGTAATTGCCTTGCTCTTAATGTTGCATAACTGTTAGCAAGACTCAAGCCAAGCATTAATGAATTTCATCAGAACTTCATTTTTTAATGAGCATCATTAATCGTTAGTCATGCGTGCTGCAACCTACACTTCTCTAAAGTGGGGATTTGCCAATCGTCTTGCACTATAAAAACAGCAGCATATTTTCCCCAGATTTTATCAGTAAAATAACAGCATGAAAAGACTGGAGCTAGAAAGACAAAAAAGCACCTCCTTTATTTGAACTTTTAAATACTTGAGATGCTCTCTGAAAGTTAGTCTGCAATTTCTGCTTGTGAGCAGCTTCTGCTGCCCAGCTTTCTTCTCTACAGGCTTTGATAATACCATGAGAGCTGGTAGGGATCTTACGTACCAAACTTGAGAGATACACCTACCATGGATTCTTAAGATGGATTCACTGGGCTTCCTCTAGCTCTTGTTACAAACTCCCATAAGTTTTTTAAGGCAAACCTTTTCAGCTTTGGAAAAATGACAGCTAGTGATCCACTGTCCAGTATTTATTCCTTCAGGTTGTGCCTAAAAACCACAGAAGGAACATCAGCTTCCTGACTGCTTCAAGCACTTGTCTGGGTTTAGCAATTCAGGTGACTAGTCAGTGCCTGTCCAGATTCACTCCCCCAAGTGCCACTGGGGGAGAGCAAGTGAATGGCTCTTTAATCTGCATTTAAACCACACCAACAGCAATACTTTATTTGCACTGAACTGCTTTATAGCTCATTCATACTCCCTCTATAACCGATTGGAGCTGACTACTTGCAGAGGTGGGTGAATTAAGTTGTCACGCGGATGTCACTGTGTGTATTAGAGCTTTATGAGAAACAAAACCTTTTTCTTGTTGTGAATACTAGAGGGATTATGATTACTCTTATCTCTAGCCCCTATAGTGCAACCTCTCACTAGAGATAGATGCTGATTAGTACCAAGATTTCAAAAGCAGATTAAACAAGCAAAAGAGATCGAACTGCATCTAAATACTGCACAATGGGGAAAAAGTCTTCTCTGCATCTTGTGCCTTTGACCAAGGAAATACATTAATCTTAACCAATGTGGATACAAATGTTTGTGGCTCAGGTGAAGGAGTAAGTGGTGTGTAGAGGGAAGAGTAAAAGAAGGGATCTTCACTTGCAAGGGGTTATAAGGAAATGTGCTCATGAGGAGGAAAGAAGCACCATGGGGAAGAAAAATGGGGGAAGAATGAAATATAGATGGCAAAAGAGAGCGAAGAGAGGGATTAATGAAAAGATATACTGACATGGAAAAAGGGGGGCATGAAATAGAGGGAACATCCAAGATGAGAGAGAGAAGACACTGAACAAGCGGTGACAAGAGAAATTAAAGATTTGCTGTGGATAATGAGTTTGCAGCAGAGGAAAAAGAAAAACCTCCTTATGAAAGTGTCATAGTTAATTTATTTTATTGTTTCTCTGGCATGTATTACCAAAACCGGTCATGACTTTGTAGTTTTGGTTTTAGGAATACCCAGCTGGAGATCCAGCAGTGTTCAGGGTAGCTTTTGGTGGTATCCCCAAACCAGTTCCACTTACAAGATCTGAGCTTCATGTTTTGGAAGTGCATTTATTCATTAGATGTAGGGTTAACTTCCACTTAGGATTTTCTAGGTGAAAAAATGGAGGGGAAAAATACAAATGTGTGCATGAGATATTCTCCTGGGTGGTCACACATTTAATGCTGTAACTGCTCTTTGAACAAA